AGAGCCTGCTATGTGTGTTCTCAATGTCTGTCCCACGATCGACTTAGCTGTTGGGTTAAGCCCTGGCTCTATTTCTACAACTACGAACACTCCTCTCCACCACTATTCTTCGTCTGTCCCGTCTTCCCCGCTCATCCCATTTTGGGATCTTACCTGAACTTTCGTTCGTTCGTTCGTTCCTTTTGTCCATCTTCTCCAGAGTGGGCATCCCCAGAGAAATTTTGTCTGACCGTGGGACACAATTCACATTTGACTTAATGCAACATCTCTACCAACTTCTAGGAGTGAAGCCTCTCTTCACCACACCCTATCATCCCAGCTGTAATGGGAGGATTGAGCGCCAGCATTCGATTCTCAAGTCCATTTTAAGGAAACTTTGCTCCCTTAAACCCAAGGAGTGGCATCGTTACCTACACTGTGTTTTGTTTGCCATGAGGGAAGTTCCCAGTGACTCATTGGGGTTTTCACCTTTTGAACTTCTCTATGGTAGACAGGCCAGAGGCCCACTGTCCATCCTTCATGACTTATGGACTAATGAGGAGGTAAATGCTGAGGTTCAGTCTTCTTACCAGTTTTTTCCTTGACCTTAGATCCAAACTTGAGGAGACCTCTGACATAGTTTCGAAAACCTAAGCTTGTCAATGGACCAGTACAAAACCTATTTTAAACTCAAAAGTCAGAGGAGAAGTTTTAAAAATAGGGGAGAAGTTCTTGTACTTTTGCCTATCAAGTCAAATAAATTATTAGTAGCAGGGAAAGGTCCATATAAAGTGTTAAAAATTTGTGGGAAAGTTGACTCCTCATAGAAGTCAAGGGAAACCTAAGCTTTATCATATCAACATCCTTAAGAAATATTACCGAAGAATTCGGTTAACTGCCTTAATAATTTTGACTTAGTTTTTCCACACGAATTTGGGAAAAAAACAACTGAAGAATGTAAAGTGTGCGTAATTGACACCTCTAACTTAGACTATGATGAAGAACTACATGACTTGGTGACTCTTGACCACTCAGGCGCAACCAACATTAATATTAGTGAATCTTTGGATGACCATAAGAGACATGAACTACTTCAATGTGTGAGCAACTTTTCAGACGTCTTTACTGATTTTTCCAGGTGTTACCCCCACGGTAGTCATAAGATTGACTTATTGACGGACAATCCTATCAAACGGAAATTATACCCAGTTCCAGTTCACCTTAGGGATGCATTTGACCGAGAGGTAGACAAATTATTAAAACTAAAGATCATTGAACCTTCAGTATCTGCATATTGCTCACCAGTAGTCATGGTTAAGAAGGCGGATAATTCATATAGCTTGCTATTGACTTCAGAGGCCTTAATGCTATTATTATTATTATTATTATTATAATAAAAAAAAAACCTTTAAATGCTATAACTCGGGGGGGGATGCTGAGCCTATGCCCTTAATAGATAGCGATCTACACAAATTTTATGACTCTTCCTTCTTTTCAGAGATTGACACTGCGCGGCATATTCATCAGGTAATGTTAGATCCTTTTCTTCTAAGCAGTACCACCGCTTTTCCTACACACCAAGGACTGTTGCAGTATAAACTATGCCCTTCGGTTTGGTAACTGCCTGTGCTACCTACGTGAGACTGATGAGAAAGGTCTTGGGTAATATGCCAAATGTTCAGTTTATTTTGTAACATTTACGTAATGACATCTACGTGGGCCGAACATATCCAAACATTACATCAGTTTTGCGTAGGTTACGCTCACATGGCCTCACTCCCAAGCCAAAGAAATGTTTCCCTTGGGTATAACAAGATTAGATATCTTGGACTGATACTTTCTAATAAACACTCTGCAGCCTTTTCCCCAGCAAGATCAAAGCTTTATTAAAATTTTAAAATTTCCCCCAAAACCAAGAAACTCATGCGTAGCTTTCTTGGTTCTGTAAATTTTTATGCACGGTTTATCCCCCAACCTTACTGATCTTACAGGCATCTTATCAGACTTCCTTAAAAAGTCTGTGAAGGAACCTCTTGAACTTTCCGACGTAGCTCGGGTAAAGTTTAATGAGATAAAAGTATCTTTCGAAAGACCCTATACTTTAAAATTCCAGATATTAAAAAAACATTTTGTTTTTAAAAACTGATGCCTCCAATACTGGCTTAGGTGCGGTGTTGCTACAATACCATGATGGTACTCCTTCCCTGTATGCTTCCTAAGCCGGAAACTCCTTCCCCGGGAGAAACAAGATACTCCACAATAGAAAAGGAATGTTTAGCCCTTGTGTGGGGTATCTCCAAACTTAATTTTATTTGCTGGGAAAAAATTCATTTTAGAAACGGACCACAAACCTTTGATATACCTAGAAACTTTTAAGGGAAACAACAGTCGCCTCTTGAGGTGGACATTGGCACTCCAGCTTTTTAAAATTCCATATTGTGTATATCAATGGTTCATCCCAAATTTTTTCTCTGACTGGTTAAGTCGTGACAGTCAGTAGAAGATTTGTTTTCCTTACGCGACTTCCCCATATTAGAACTTTTTTCCTCGCCTATTCTTCTTATACTCCTTCACTATAAGTCTTGGTATGGGGGAGTGTGAGGGAAAAGTTCAATAGATAGGAGTAGCGATATAGTAACGATGGTTTCATTGCCGGCTACTAGTTAAGGTAGGGTAAGTCAAGCTCCCCTTTTTCCTGCCTTTTTTTCCCCCTCCCTGAAAGTGATAGTTTGACTGCCGGCTGCTTGTTGACGTGGGTCAGTTCTAGCTCCCACATCCCTTCCCTCCCTTTCCCCCCCCCCCCCCAAAAGGTGACGTGTGGGGCTCTGGTCAAACAGTAAATCACTCGACTCACAGCTCCCAACACGCTGTAAGTACATGCCTGCCTTTTATTCTAGTGGATTTTATTGGTTGAAGCTTCACTTTTGACCAATATAAACTTAGTCCTCTCAGTCTTGCTTAGGTTGACTGTTGTAATAATCACCACATCTTTTGGGTATTGTTTCTTGCCATGGAGAGTGATTTTTTAAAACAGTGGGGAACTGTCTATCTTTTCAGCTTGGATGACAGAGGGGTCACCTGTCAATCAACGAGAAGAACAGGAGACAGACTAACATCCTGGAGACGTCCATTTTGGATTTAATTACCTGTGCACCCGTATGAAATTGCAGGAAAGTAACCCCACATCATTGCAGCGGTAAAGAACCCGCTTTCCTGTCATCGGGATACTACTCACGGGGATACCTGCGAAGAACTAGCCAGTGGTGGTCACCAACACCTACAACCCCCCCCACATCAGCAACGGCTACGATTTCAACAACAGTGTCACCAACACCAGACACCCCTATATATATTAGCGTTGAATTCAGTTATTTATATTTTTCATTTTTCATTTTCTTTTTAAAGTAGGATTAATATTTCATATTTAAGTGTTTTATATTTTATATTTTCTATATAATAAAGTGTTTATGTTTGTCTGTTATTATTTCTTTTTCTATTCACTAATTTTCCTGAGGAGGAGCCAGCCTTGGTAATACTGTCTGAAGTTGTTACAGGGCTGAGTAAGCCTTCACATAGAAAAACACAAAGGGGAAAATTGGGAGAGCAACGCCTGAAGCTTACCCTGGTTACTCTGAGGCCGCAGATATTCCACTGTAAAAAAACCATGATTTGCGAAGAGAAAGATACAAAAAAACTGAAGGTAGAGGTATCTAAAAGACTAGTAGGGTTAGAAAAGTTCACATGTGGAGGCAGCGGAAAAAATTTTAAGCAGCGAAGGTTTGGTACGCTGTGAAGAATGGAGTTGTGCAGATGGAGAAGAGTGAAGGTGGATCAGTGTCCATCAATGGTTAGTCTCCTCAATATATATAGCTTCAAGTGTTTCGAGGACAAAGACGTTGTATGTGGTACAATATTGGAGAGGAAGGAGGAGGGTGAATAAGGATTAGGGTGATGATGGAATGTACCAAAGTAGGGTAAAATCCTCTCTTGTCCCCTCCTCGGGGGGGGACAAGAGAGGAAGCGACCTGGGAGGGGGCAGAAGAGGAAGAAACTTGGGGGGGGACAGGGAAAAAAGGGTATTGTACAAGGAATAGGATGAACCTCTACACTCTAAACAGAGCCAGTTAGAAGTAAAGAACCGGGTACAGAGACTGGGAAGAAAAAATGTACGGGTTGCAGAAGGGAAGGAGGGGCTAAAGGAGATTTCGACAATGGGGGATGTTTTGGACTTCGGAGAAGGAGAGGGGCGATGGGGAGTAGGTGTTGTATGAGGTCTTGTAGACACAGAAACTTATGAGCGAGAAGAGGAAGAGATGAAAACAGAATGAGGTGCTGAGGTGGGAAAACCTCCGAGTCTAGGACAGTAAAAGAATTAGAGACGGGTGACCACAGAGGAGGCTGCAGAAGTTGGGCCCCCCAAAAGGCGGGGGGACGTTTAGAAAGCTCGGAATATGAAATACGGGGAAATTTCCCTTGGGGGGCATAGATGAAAGACTTCCATAGCAATGGGGGGCCCTTTTCTGCTTCTTTGAGACAACGGACTTCACGCTATTTAAGTAAACTTGGCAGTGGTGAGAGTGAGATGGGTGAGCCTCATGACAATTAAAGGCAAGGGGGAGGTAGACTACAAAACATATTGGCATGGTCGTCGGCACCACATTCTAGGCATTTGGCCATGGGCCTGGAATATTTGCTGGATGACCAAAGCGCCAGCACTACACTGATCCCCCTACACTGCAATAGTGTAGGGATCACCTTTCGTACTTGTAAACGCTGTCCTGCAATATATAGAGGACAGAAGCTCATGGCAGTCAAAGTTGAGAGCTACATTGCAAGGGTGTCATCTCCGTCCACAGGCAGGGAGGACATAAGTGTCTACTTTGAGGATTGGAAGGCCCTTGGAGTTCTAGCTTTTTCCAGAATGTCATTGTCATGTCTGGAAATTCTGTTGGACGATGGTATGGGGCAGAATGACAGTACCACTTCAAGAATTGAAGGAATGATGTTTTTAAAATAGTTACAGGAATAGTATTGAAAGATGTTAGGAGAGAAAGATCATGAGCTTGGCTACATTCTCGACAGTGATGATGCATGTACAACTCTTGAGAGCACGAAGGATATATCTCTGCCAACATGGCATAGGAGCACCTTGCCAATACTATGGCCAGAAAGATGGTAGTAGAGGAAGTCAGCTGTAGAGAAAAAACCCTTAGTCCATTGTGTATTTTGAAACATAGCATGTAAAGGGAGTGCATGGCGTGCATATCGTTTCTGAGAAGAATGAGAAGGAAGCGAAGAAGTATCATCAGGAATGGTCTTGGGCATTTAGGATTTGGATCGGAGGGGAGTTGGTCCCAAAACCTGCCGCACCGTAAGGGAAAAGCCAGAAGCATATTCAAAGAAAGCGGAGGTTGGACATAACAAAGGAGTCATTCGAAACCCAGTTACCTGTCCCGGGGTGACGAAACAGCACCAAAGGGGTACAGGGCCATCAGGAATGTCCAGAGAGTGGTCAAATAACGAGAGGGGGTCGGAACAGGGTGCAGTATCAGTAAGGGGCCCGGGGGGAGCAGGTTTCTTGGATTTGGGACTCCATGGTTATGTCACTTCTTTCTTGTTGTTTTGTAGAAAAAAAAAGAAGAGAGAAAAAAAAAAAGAGTGGGGGAGGAAATGTGGAGGAATGTTCTTTGGAGGCAAAAAAGGGCCGTAAATCTGCCTTCGCACTCAACAGGACCCAAGCACTGCAAGTAGTGCAGATGCAGCATGGAACCTGTGCCATATCCTACCCTTCATGCCAATAAACCAAAATCCGGGATAGCAAACTCGCATCTGCCGAGCCACCCTGGGGACAAAAGAGAGGGCAGCCGGACACCCACCACAAAGCATACCTCCTTTGGCCCCCCCCCCCAGAATCCGACAGGCAGCCTCCAGAGATACACTCGTCACCCAAAAGGACCCAAAGCCACCCCCTGGGAGACTAGAGAGGGTTTCGGCACCCCTCCGGGTGATCCAGATTCCATGGCAAACTACACCACTGCCAAGGACCTCAAGGAATGGGATGGCCCCCAGTACCCTTCCCCCTACCTAGGAAGTATAGTGCCTGTAGGAAGAATGCCAAAGGCTGAAAATAGGAAGGGAATAGGGGGGGGATGGAGAGGAAGAAGAAAGGAAAAAAGGGAGGATGGGGAGAATGGGATAGGGAAAGGGGAGGATTGGGGGGGTAATTAGGTTCAGTCTGTGGAAGGAGACCAAAAGGTCTAATTCCTCAGACCAAGAGCCTTTTCCACCATGCCAAGGATTATTATTATTATAATCAAAAAGAAGCGCTAAGCCACAAGGGCTACACAGCGCTGAACACCGTGCCAAGGAGCCCCCTTGAAGTGGGCTGGATCTACAACTTCCTAACGAATAGAACACAGTGTAATAGAAAACAAAATAAAGCCTGAGCTGGCTATAGTGAAAAGTTCTGGCTCAATAACTCACTCCCACCTTTTCCCCATCCTTATATCTGACATAGAGAGAGATTTAAAACACAGCACTGTGTCCTCCTTTGCTGCTGTGTCCTCCTTGCTGATGATACAAGAATTTGCATGACAATTTCATTTCCCTTGAGGATACTGGAAATCTCCAAACAACATGAACCATGTCTTTAAATGAAAACAAATTTCAATGAAAACAAATTTTAATTGCTCTGTTATGGAAAATTTGAGGAAATAAAAATTGGATCATAACTCCTTTTCCTGTATACAACTGCTTTGGATCCCATCACACATTGGATTACTCCTTCAAGATAAAGTTGATATGTTAGCCAAGAAGATACCCAGAAGAATGTAGAATAAACTGGGATATCTGTGTCTAGCATTAGGAAAAATATTAGGAGAAAAAGTAAATAACAAAAATGATTGTTATAGGAATGCAATTAGAAGCCTGAGTAGATCTATAACCCACTATGATAACATGAACGTAGATAAGTATGTTTATGGAGCAACTTGCAATGTGACCAGACTGACTGAGTTGTAGTGGCCAGGCTTAGGCTTGGTTACAAGTACTTCTGGCAGTTTGGGAGACACAAAAGATGATGATCAAACTAAATGCAAATTATGTGATAAGGCATATGGTCACTGTCTTGACACTATGTGCTTAATTGTCCACTTATTGAGGGAAAACAGAGACAGACAGTATTAATAACCTATGTGACATGTCAAGATATCTTATTAATAAAAATAAGATACCAGATATACTAAGCAAATTTCCTAAATTTTGCTTGTAACAGATAAGTGAACTGTAGATATATAGATATAAAACCCCCATGTACACCTGCTAATCTTTTGGGGCCTAGTTTCCTAGGCCTGTTGGGTATAGTTTTACCAACCCTCTTATATGGGTGTGAAGCATGGGTGATGAACGTTGCAGCGAGGAAAGGCTGGGGGCAGTGGCGATGTCATGTCTGAGGGCAATGTGTGGTGTGAATATAATGCAGAGAATTCATAGTTTGGAAGTTAGGAGCAGGTGCAATATTGCAAAAACTGTTGCGCAGAGGGCTGAGGGGAAAGGGGTTTTTGAGGTGGTTCGGACATGTAGAGAGAATGGAGCGAAACAGAATGACTTCAAGAGTTTTATCAGTCTGTAGTGGAAGGAAGAAAGGGGGAGGGGTCGGCCTAGGAAAGGTTGGAGGGAGGGGGTAAAGGAGGTTTTGTGTGTGAGGGGCTTGGACTTCCAGCAAGCATGCGTGAGCATATTTGATTTGGGGTGAATGGGGACAAAAAGGTTTTTTAATACTTGATGTGCTGTTCGAGTGTGAGCAAAGTAACATTTATGAAGGGATTCATGGGAACCGGCAGGCCGGACTTGAGTCCCGGAGATGGGAAGTAAAGTCAGTGCCTGCACTCTGAAGGAGGGGGGTTAATGTTGCAGTTTTAAACCATACCCCCGACCGGGTTTGAACCCGCGGTCATAGAGTCTCAAAAATCCAGCCCGTCGCGTTAGCCACTAGACCAGCTACCCCAATAAGATTCATCCAACTAGGTATATTTCTACACCATAGGAAGGTTAGCACAGGCACCTCTGTGACCACAAATGCAAGTTTTTTACAGACGAATCTCCAGCTAGCGTGGCTGTGGGTACTCTAGCTCAAGTCCCTTCACTGCCGGTCAACATGACCAAGAAATCGTAATGACACGATTGCAAACAAACCATACCCCCGGCCGGGGTTGAACGCGACGGGCTGGAGTTTTGAGACTCTATGACCGCGGGTTCAATCCGGCCGGGGTATGGTTTTTTTGCAATCGGGGTCATAGATTTCTTGAGTCTTGCAGTTTTAAACTGTATGTAAAGCACCCTTCTGGCAAGACAGTGATGGAGTGAATGAAAGGTGAAAGTTTTTCTTTTTTTGGGGCACCCTGCCTTGGTGGGAATTTGGCCAGTGTGTTAATAAAAAAAAAATATGCTCTTGCACTACCATCCACAGGATGGATATGGGGGCACAATAAACCTAGCCACTTTGGTGGCAAAATCCTAAATCCTGTAAAACATTTTGGGGTTTTCCTGCTTTGGTGGATACGGCTGGTTTGTTGAAAGAAGAAAAATGGGATCAGACTTTAAAACATATTCCAACCACACAATAGAGTGAAAAAAATAATGTGAAGACCAAGGAGTGATAATGTCAGATAATCTCACTTTCAAAGATCAAAACAATATCTCTACCACATCTGCTGGGAAAATGATAGGATGGATAATGAGACCCTTCAAAATAGGGATGGGCCCAAGCCCATTATGATTCTCTACAAATCACTCTCTAAGCCAGAGTATTGATGTACCTAACAGCCCCTTTCAAGGCAGGTTTAAAAATGCAGACCTGGAAATTATACAGAGAACTTTCACTGCATGTATAAGTACAATAAAGCACTTAAATTACTTTACATGGTTGAAGTCCCTTGACCTGTACTTCATGGAATTTAGGCAAGAAAGATATATCATAATATACATTTTGAAAATCCTAGAGGGACTAGTCCCAAATTTGCACGTGGAAATCACTCCCTATGAAAGGAAAATTTCTCAGCCGGTGGTGCAACATCTCGCCAATAAAAGCAGGGGCACCATGAGTAATAAAAGACAACACACTAAGTGTCAGGGGCCCAAGACTGTTTAGCATACAAAAGGGATTACCAACAGAACCCCAAGCTGTCTTCAAGAGGGAGCTGGACAGGCACCTAAAGTCAGTACCTGACAAGCAGGGCTGTGGTTCGTACATTGGTTTGTGTGCGGCCAACAGTAACAGCCTGGTTTATCAGGCCTGGTCATGAACTGGGCCACTGGAGCATTGACCCTTGAAACACCCTCCGGGGTATGGAAGAGAACCCTTATCAAGGCAGAGGGAATGACCACCTCAAAATCTCTTCTTCAAGGCTGAGAAAACTGATCACCTCATATTTACATCTCCACTGTTTCTGCTTTAAGTCACTTTGTATTTGACTGAAGAAACCTGCTGAGGCTAAATATTTTAACCCTTTGACTGTCGCGGGCCGTAATATATACGTCTTACGTCCTGGTGTCGCAAAATTTAAAAAAAAAAAAATATATTTTTTCTTATGAAATGATAGAAGAATCTTTTCCCGATTGTAATGACACCAAAAAAAACGAAATTTGATGGAAACTGACGGAATTAATGCTCTCGCGAAGTTAGCGACCTCGGCGCCGTTTACAAATCGGCGATTTCGCCCGCTTTGAGCCCGTATTTTTGGCTAATTCCATTGTTCCAGTCGCCCAAACTCATAGCTATTTCTTTAGAACTCCATTTTTTCTATCGATTGAGTACAAGAAACTGCCCATTTACCGATTTCAACTACCTAATAATGTGGTCAGAAATTTGCAATTTGGCCAATTTCACGAAAACTACAAAATTTTGACAATTTCAAAATAAGGTCCAGAATGAACAATGCAGACATTCCTGGCTCTAAAATAACATTTTCTTTGCTCATCAGTCGTGTTTCCAGGCCCCTCTGATATTACTCTTGCTTTCTATTTTGATTATTATTATTATTATAATCAAGGGGAAGCGCTAAACCCGTAGGATTATACAGCGCCTATATGGGGGAATGTGGAAGGCATTCAGGCCTTTAAAATTTGGGGAATACTGGAGCAAAGATCCAAATTTCCTAAATCAGAGACCTCACCAACATCAAGGAACCCTATCTGAGGGGTTTTCTATTTTGAATTTTATTCAAACAAAAATTTAAGACTTACTATTATGCAGACTTCTCAAAACTGTATAATTGAATAAATAACATCAACCTTTTTCATGACTGCATTTATTAGAATGGCTAGTTGGACATTTACTGGAAAATGGCATCATTTGCTTACTTTTGAACATTGGCAAAAATCAAACATTTCCCCTACTTTGAGCTCCATTTCTAGGTTCTTTTTATAGTAAAATCAATCAAAATCATCTCTATTTCTATAATATGTCTTCCATTCTATCAAATGAGACCAACAAAAGGGAGAATTCAACCATAAATACTATACGAAAATAGACCACAAAGTCGGCATTTTAATTAAAAAAAATGGTCGGAGTTTTTTTTTCTCATTATGCACTGCGTGCTCCAGGATTTTTTTTATATGGTGCACACTGACCACACAGACCCATTCTCTCACATGTAGGGCCTACCAGCTTTCTCCTGCTTGATTGGAAGCCGCTAGAATTTATGAGTATATATACGTCAAACACGGTACCTCGTAAGACGTATAATATACGGCCGCGACAGTCAAAGGGTTAAACAATAAAGATACCCAGTGATTTATGTCGTAACTCGTCTGCCCCTCGGTATTATATACACTATTATAATATGCCCAGTAATGTATACACAAATGGAGCCTGTTCCACTACACAACCTGTTCTTGTTGGAGTCCCACAGGGAAGCATTCTTTGTCCACTTCTCTTTCTCATTTACATCAATGACCTACCAAATGCATCCAATCTCCTTAAACCCATTTTTATTTGCAGATGACACAACTCATGTCTTTCTCACCCAAACCCAACCATACACAGTAAATGCTGAACTGCTAAATATATCTACTTGGATGATTACCAACAAACTTACTCTCAATATTGACAAAACCTACCTCATGCTTTTCGGAAACAGAGCTTCAAATGTACAGCTAAACATATTGATAAATGATTCACCTATCTCGAGACAGGCAGAGGCAAATTTCTAGGTCTCCACCTTGACTACAGTCTCAAATTTCAGACACACATACAGCAAATTTCCAAGAAAGTCTCCAAAACAGTAGGTATCCTTTCAAAGATATGGTACTATGTACCCCAATCAACTCTTCTAGCTTTGTACCACTCTCATTTACCCTTACCTCACCTATGGCATTTGTGCATGGGGCTCAACCACAGTAAATCACCTTAAGCCTTTAACTCTTAAAACTGTCCAAATGTAGATCTAGTTCGCTCATGTAGCACTCCGAACGTAGATCTATGGTTTTTTTTTTTTAACATTCTTTCTTATGGGAAAAATCAAGGTCAGAGCGCTACGCGTAAAAACGTAGATCAACATTTGGACAGTTTAACAGTTAATAACCCAGCAAAAAGCTGCAGTGCGATTGATTACTAACTCCTACATTAGACAAAAACACTCCACCACTTTTCAGGAGTCTTAACCTACTAAATATACAAAACTTCCACACTTATTATTGTGCCTACTACATACACAGAACACTATACTCTAATGTGAACCCTCCTCTCAAACTCCTCTTTGATAACTATAACAGAACACGCAGCCATAATACGAGACACAGATCATTCTTCAATATTCCAGTGTTCATCTCTCCCCTATGCAAAAATGCTATGCATGTAAAAGCCCGAAGATGTGGAATTCATTGCCAAACAAACTAAAGGACCCCTGTCTGCAAATCAGTTTAAGGCCCAAATAAGAAATCCCCTCATCACCCAAAATTAACCAGACCAAACCATACCTAACCACTACCAGTTTCTCAAAAGCTACTCATATTGTGCTGATGAATGCTCAACCACTTACTACTTTGAAATTAGGATGTTTTTTTTCATTGTTTAAAATAGTAGTAGATTGTAATACAGTACATCATAATGTAAACTGTTCCATTGAAATACCAAATTTCAGTGTTTTAAATAGTACTAAACTGTAATACATCACACTGTAAATTGTTTTAAATTGTTACATTGTAATACTGTAATCTTTATTAACTAATTCAATAGTGTTAAAAGTCTCTACTAGACTTATCAAAACCACGAAGCATCACCTGATATAATATTAAATTCTCCTGTACTCACTGTAACTCATCTAATGACCATATGAACTATGTATTATTGCTTACTATTCTTAAGTTAATCTTTAAGTTTGCCCAAAATGCTCAGCATACAGAGGGGGCTTTTATATACCTCTGTACAACCATGTAATTTGTCAAAATAAAAAATCTAAATCTAAGTCTAAAAAATGCTACATAGCTCAAGTTGTATAGTGTCAAATAGGAGATTTTCTAGTACTAGGTAAAACAATGTGAATATGTTGTCAGGAAAATATCATCTTGCTTAAAAAAAAAAAGGAGATTTAACTTTAGTTCATACAGAATCAAGTATAAATTCAAAATATAACACTAGTTTCACTCTGGTATTATGTTGAGCATATTATCTTGTCTGTAGGATTGGAGAGGTTATATTGGTAGCTGTAAGAAGTAGAATAATTTTCCATATCCAAAATAATGAACATCAGCAGAACTTTAAACTTTAAACATCAGCAAACAGCTTTAACCAGGGAGCAAATGACACCAAAGATTAAAAGACTACACAGTTAAAGATTTAATAATTTATTACTAACATAAAAATTTTTCAGGAAATTGCTAATGTTAAAATAAATGAACTACATTAATTGTGATATATCAAAATTCAATGAATTCTTAACTTGACTGGCATGGTAAGTATGTACTGTAATGAAGGTAGGAACTATAATGTAGTGGGTCAGCATAGGATCATAATGCCTGTGACCATCTGTAATGCAGATACCAAGCAAGAGATGGTCAATGTTTTCTTCTTTGGGTTAACCTGCCTTGGGAAATAGCCAGCAAAAACTCAAATACAGCCAATATGTAAAAAAAAAAAAAAAAAAAAAAAAAAAAAAGTTATGAGTATCATGTAAGAGAAAAACTAGCTCTTAAGCCAGGGTGAAAATATGACCTTCAACATCATGTCAGTCAATATGTCACCTTTACCATCCACGTCATATCTGCCAAATAAAACAATTTTTTGATGTTAGGTAAAAGGACACAAATGCAACTAATGTGACATTTTTATTGTTGCAATGTTTTTGCAACAATAAAATGTCACATTAGTTGCACTTTTGTCCTTTAACCTAACATACTGTCAATAATTCTACCAACTTTAATAATTTTTTGAACATTTTTGATAGTTGAATTAAGACAATGAAACACAACCTTTCAGAGAAGTTCTGTGATATACTGATCACTGGAAATTGGCCTCACTTAAGCACTAGTGTTTCTTTACATGAATCAGAGCAGCATTAATAAAATAATTTTCAACTCTGCTCTAAAGTGATGTACTCAGTCTGTGAAAGCCAAGTTTCTTGAGTGAACTGAAAACCAGTGACCAGTAATATCATGTTGTCTACTTCCTTGCCCTTCTAACTCTCCAACAAGTGTGCAAAATTAATTTCTTTTTATGCTATTATATCTAGCTGTATAACCCAGTGTATTCTCAAGGCATTATATTGAAACAGTCACTTAAAAGTATGTTTAAACAAAGTCATATAAATATTTTCTTTTATTAATTTAGAATATAAACACCATATTCTGAAACCAACTTATATGAAGAGTGAATTTTTACAATGTGCCAGGGTGGATATATTTTTTGATGATATTTTATTACATTTTCAAAACTAAATGCTTTGTTTAAATTAAAATATGCACTGTGTACATAAAAGTTAAATCCTCATGTCCTAATTCTTGAGAAATTAACATCATCAATTGAATAAAAACTGAACATTTCTCAGCATATGGGAAACTGTCTTCAACAACAAATTAAAGGAAGAATAAAATTTGTGATGAGATTAGAAGATTACTACTACACTATAGCTAACTTTAGGCCTTAACACAAAGATGCTGGCAATATCTATGTAATGATGCAACAGGAAATGACGATTTAGCATGAGGTCTGCAATAAATAAAAATAACAAAATTAATGTTAAATGAACACCCTGTACAACTAACACAACTTTACCAAATAAAGGACCTTTCACACTTTTCATTACTGATACAAATCATGTGTACCACGTGTTCAACTCCACTGACTGCTGTCATTTTTACCTATTATTAACAATTATCAATATCATCCCTGAATTAAACTGCAATAAATACATTTTGATGTACAGTATATACAGCAGTGAGTTGCACTCTGGTTCTAGTCAACTGTTAGTCACATTTACACATGATGAAAACAAGAATTCCACCATGTCATCACTGGCCATGCCACTCATACACTGACTGTATTCTACATGATCAAGTCCAGTTGTGAGATACATAGCTAGGATCAATGCCAATCCATACACTGATTGTATGTTACATGGTCAAATCCAGTTTGTGAGATACATTAGCTAGGATCCATGTCACTCATACACTGGCTGTATGTTACATGGTCAAGTCCAGTTGTGAGATACATTAGCTAGGATCCATGTCACTCATACACTGGCTGTATGTTACATGGTCAAGTCCAGTTGTGAGATATATTAGCCACTCTTACACTGGCTGTATGTTACATGGTCAAGTCCAGTTGTAAGTGAGATACATTAGCTAGGATCCATTCCACCCACACACTGACTGTATGTTACACAGATAAGTCTAGCTGTGAGAAACACTAGCAGGATCCACATGAAGGATAAAGCTTAGTCTAATGCTAATATTACTATTAATACATACATGTCAGGCTATCAGATATTGGCATGAACTCTTATTACAAAATTAGCAAAATAAATTTATCTGGACTTAAGTTATAATTATGTATAACTTACACAAGACCTCGGGGCCCTTCAAAATGTCTACAGCTGCATACAAAAAAAATTATGTGATAAAAATTAAAGTTGCCAATTACTTACTAGTAAAATATATATGATGAAATTGACTAAAAATTAAAGATAAAAGTGATTAGTTTTTGCAATATTTACACTTGCATCTGTCATTTTTAACACCACACACCACCATCACATAAACAAAGAAATACTGGTCAACCATCCACAAAACTGCAAAAATAATAGTGGGATATCTGACTTTGTTCATTCTGATAACTCCACTACAGAGCTCCTATACTACAGTATATTAGGGGCATTTACACTACTACAATTATCATCAAATTCAGAAAACTTCTTAAGTGAGGATAGATAATAGTGAAAAAGTACCATGATAAGTAAAATTCTTAGAGGTGAGATACTGTAAGTCTTGCATCCTTCCCTGCCACAAATGTATACTGTAAATAGATGACAAACTGCATCTCTGGCTAGCAAAAAATTATGATATAGGACCCCCCACATAATACAGCAATGTCATGGGCAAGAGACATTTCTGCTAAGTCAATATTAACTTTTTTGTTATGTTTGCTTCACTTGTTGCCCTTAACACAAGCAAGTGACACCACTCACCATATTGTACATCATATGGATGGTTCCTGATTTAGTGGCCAACTATGAGCCATTTCAGACAATATAAAAAATTTATAAATTTTTCATACAACACCTCATATAA